AAAAAAGGAACCAGCTTATTAAAATCAATCATTTCTAAATTAGACCCTTCCCCCCAAATAAATAAATGAATGAATAAATAAATAAATAAATCTTTTTTTAAGAATTAGTTGTTTATGAATCAGTCTATTCACTACAAAGAACCAGCTCATGTAAGTCATTTGTTTATAATTTAGACTAAAAACTATTGACTTAAAAAAACAAACAGTTCATAAGAACCAATAGGTTATGTATCAGACTAAAAAAAAACCCTATTCATTAAAAAGAACCAGGCCATTAGAATCAATCGTTTCTAAAAAACAAAAAAAAAAAAAAAAACTAGAAAATACTAAATAAATCAATAAATAAATATATCCACTCATATGAACCAACTCAAATCAGCTCATATGAATCAGTTGTTTAAGAATCAGTCTAAAAACTATTCACTACAAAGAACCAGCTCAACAGTTAATTGTTTATCAATCAGTCTAACAAGCTATTCACTAAAAAGAAGCAACTTAAGTCGTTTGTTTGTAAATCTGTATACACTGGTCAAACTGCATGTTTATTTTTGCAGCTCAATAGAAAGACATTTCATGTCATTATTTTTTGATACATAACATTTGAATTGCATCACACTGAACACAGACTGCACACTCACATTCACATTTCAGATATGAAATATCATTTCTTTTACTGTGACACTGTAGATTTGGAGGTGGTGGTATAGATTCAGCAGTGGGGGAGCACTGCTGCTGAAAAGCGGTGCAGGAAACACTGATACACAGAAAACAAGCAAACATTTAAATAAATCTTTATATATTGAACCTGGAGAAAACTTCTTGTCTTGAATTCAGATCTAAGATGCAGTAGCAGAAACAGAAAAAATGACAAAGATTAAGTGTAAGAACAGCCTCTGCCTTGGGGGTTGTGTGACAGAAGTGTTGTTTAAAACTACAGATTGGCTCATAAATCAGAGGATAGAGAGAGCAGACAGAGGGGTCCTGATAGAGGCAGACAGTGTCACCGACCAGAACTGACTTACATGGACACCACCCTTCAAAAAAAAACAAAAAAACTCTTTGCATGCAATTTTCATTGCATTAATGCATCCCATCCCTCAGAGAATCACAGACTTGAGTTTAATCCATCGGGTTAATCCATTGGGTAGGACTATGCGTAAGCATTAAATAATTAGCATTAAGCTCATTGACCTGTAGCAAATGAATGTTGCTAACTAACCTTCTCTCTGACTCCCTCTCTGAGCTGGCTACTTCCTGGAGATGTTGGTAGACAGGACCAGAATCTCTCGTTCCACCAATGGCATTGAGACATCCTCTGGTTATGGGTGGTGTTCTGCGAGATGCAGGCCGAAAAGCAGAACGAATCCTTTGATCTGGACTATGAGAGAGGGAACCACTCCTGTAAAATAAAATACACAACATATCATTGATTTGTGCTTTTGTGTTATTGCTAGGGTCATTTTGATCCCCAAGGAGAAATGATACAAATTTGACAAGTGCATGCTTACTGAGGGATAAATAATAATAAGCTGTGGGGATTTCATTCTGCCAGAATTAAAAGCATCAGAAAACAAATGAATAATAATAACAACAACAATAATAATAATTATTATTATTCTAACTATTACTATTATTGTTTTTGTGCATTACTGGGGACTTTAAAAAACCCTACAAACAAACAAAACAACCAAATCAAAAAGAAGGTTTTATGTAAGAAAGAAAATAATATATTTACTTGAATACAGATATGGATAAGAAAATAAATAAATGCAACAGTACTGACATTTTATATACTTTTACAGCTCTGTTCTGTTGGTGTTTTTTTTTTTTAAAAGGAAATCCTAAAATAGCACACATGACTCTGAACAAAGCAAAGCTGCTATACTCAATCAGATTTTCTGTCGCAGTCCATAGTATTCTTATGTTAAAAATGCTTTACACTCTCACTTTCTCTCTGTCTCCATCTGGTGTGCTGAATGTTTTACAAAGCAGGACATGTTTTCATAAAGCTCGCTGAGAAAGACACTGGGAATAATCAAAACTCTGGAATGTAGGCTTTAGTCTACACACCTGTAGACTTCATTAAAACAACAACAACAAAAATGATTTACTAGATACATTTCTTTTGTCATTGAAAAAGGGAGCACATTACCAATGAGTCACCTTGTTCCCAAATAGATATTTATATGATAGTGCTAGGCAAACTACGGGGAGATGTTGTACATACGTTTCCACTGAATGGGGCCACATTAACATAGAGATTAATTGACCTATCAGACCGATGGCAGAAAGGAGCACACATTTGACTACTTGGTAAAAATAGCCCAAAGAGGAATTCATGCTCGATTTTAGATGAGTCTCCAACAGAGCGATAATTCACTGCATATTTAAATCCTTTCTTACCCTGAGTCAAGAGCAATCAGTTAGATTGTGATGATCATTTGAAGACATGAGCATTTGGGGAGGGATGGGACAGGGGGCAAAAGGCTGTTTGCCAACAAATTACATGTCATCACAGAAAAAAATACATATATATGATTGCAAGAGTGCACTGAGCCACAAACAGAGAGAGAGTGGAATCAGGGCTTAACGTTTATGAGGATTAAACAAGGCTGAAAGGATTTGTGTCTCTGCTATCACAGACCATCCCCAGCCCTCCATAAAACCCCTCCACAAACCACAACTCTTATCCACACACTGATGAGCAATCATTTAATACAACAGATCATTCATATCAGAAAACATTTTACTCAATGAATGAATTCAATAAAACATTCTATTAGACTCTAAAACGACCAAATAGCTCAATTTCAATGGACCCTTCTCTGCCTGAAATACATTTTTGACCAATCCTACTTTAGGTTGCCGTTTAATATTTCAGACATGCCTTTTTGGTTTTAGATGACAAAATACTTCAAAATGATGTGGATTACAATATGTTTTGTCCCCCATTCCCATCAGAACACTTACTTATGCTTCAAGGTAAATTAACATCTATTCTTTCATGTACTGATTGATGTTATTGTAGTGTCGATAGTAACTGAAGAGTTTGTGAATGTGTTTTGTTAATGTTATCAGAATTTGACAGTAAATGCACTTTTAATATTACAACAGTTTTCTATTTCAAATAAGTGCTGTTTTTATACTTTCCATTCATCAAAGAATCTTGAAAAAAAAAAAAAAAAAATTCAACATTGATAATAATAAAAAATGTTCCTTGAGCACCAAATCAGCATATTAGAATGATTTCTGAAGGATCATGTGACACTGAAGACTAGAGTAATGATGCTGAAAATTCAGCTTTGCATCACAGTAATTACATTTTAAAATGTAGTCAAATAAAAAAACAGTTATTTTAAACTGTAATAATTTTCACAATATTACTGTTTTTACTGTATCTTTGGTCAAATATATGCAGCCTTAGTGAGCAAAAACAAAACATGAAGCTACCATATTTTATTGCACCAGAGAACTGATAATAATATATGCTCTGCCATTGATGTTGTTGCTATTACAGAAGTGCATATTAATATATTGCCAGTTAGAATTATTATAATTTTCTTACTATTCAGTAATTGTATCATAGTCACTGGGTGCACTGTAATGGATGGAAATTAAATTTCTCTCCTCAGTGCTTTTTAACAGAGACATGTAGATTTCATACTGTATAATTACGTTACAATAATCAGTCAAAATTTCTTTGAATGCCATTAAATTAGCATGAAAAAAAGCTGATTTAGAAGGATAAAAAGATTTTGTGATGATTCATACCTGGGGTGTTTCCCTGTCAGTGTGCCTTGTGGACTGGTAGAGGCAGCAGTGCTTTGAACGAAACCAGACTCTTGAACATGCGGTGGCGAGGAACTTGTGGGTTTATAATACTGCAAAAGACACAACAAAGACAAATGTTAAACATTCTACATTGTCATCTAAACTCTTAATTAATACATTTTCAGTCCCAGTTGGATAATGTATCAAGCATGCAAGAAGAGCTCAGGCTTCTGCTTGACTCTTCGCCTCGATTCTTGTCTTTGACAAAGAGTCAGTTGTTGGGGGTTCCACTGATGTTCAGATAATCCAACAGACCTCTATGAAACCTGCAGACAAATCCAATTTAAATTTCACACCTTGAAAGACTTCCTCATAAAAAGCCATTTCTGCTTCAGGCAGAATGCACACAATGATCTAAATGTCAGAGAGATACTTAATCTCCTCCGCTATCCCACCTTCACTCCACAGTGTCGAGTGGAAGAGAAGAGAGAGAGGGAATATACAGGAGGAGGAGAACTGATGGCTGATGGGGGATCAGAGAAGGGCACTAGAGTCACTCTAATTGGATAATATAGCACTTTCAGGACTATGTAAATCTAAGCAATGTCCCAATAGCTTCCTCTAATGGAACTCGTGTGGGAACAATATGTGCAGTGCAGAAGAGAACATATTGTTTTTTTTTCTTTTACTTTCCTCATTTACATTTTGCAGATTGTTTTTTTTCCCCCAAAGCAACTTACATTGCATTCAAAGTATACATTTCAACAGTTGTATGCATTCTTTGGGAATGCCATGACTTTTCCACTGCTAGCACCAGACTCTACTGTTTGTGCTACAGGGAACACATAAACTTTATTGTGACTATTTACAGACATGCAGTGTGCATGTGCATGATTTAGTAACTCATTATGTTCAGTTCTGCAAATTATAGCTGGGAGCATCTTTAAAGTATGATTTGAATGCATCATGTAACATCCCAGCCTACAGGACTTTATTAATTTGTGATATAACAGCAGCTTGGAGGAAACCTCTTGTGTCTGTGAAATATTGACACTGCCTTGACAAAGAAATGACATTTCCAGTAAGCTTGACTTTTTTCAAACCTAGGCTAAAGTAAGATGACAATATGTGAAATGTAACCCACGCGCAATACCGTGGGCAATTTTATCATGTTTTATCTAATGTATTGAAATTCAAGTGAGTCATGTTTAAAATCACTTACATAAACCTTAATCTTTTATTAACTCAAAACAAAAACTTGTTCATGATTACTTTAGACTTTTATACATGGTTTTGACAGACAGTTAGCATTTAACCAGTTAAGCTATGCTACGCTGTTATGTTTTGTTATGTTATGGCCATCTCTCGCTCGATTCAAATATTAATTGCATAGCTGTATGTTTTAGCAACTTGTAATGACAGTAAATGTGCTATTGAAAATATCAGGTGAGTGGGAAGGAGCTAGAGAGTATAAGATTTATACAGAAGAAGAGAAGGAGCAAGAGAAAGAGTAGCAATAAATTTCTGAATTTAAGGTCAACTCTTCATCACATGGGTAACTAGTACCGGTATTAGAAAAGCTAGAAGCCTATCATTACTGAAATTTGAAGTCAATTTCTTTTCCCTTAGAGATGCACTTTGACCACACTCAAAAGAACCTGTTCAGGCAAACAAAAATGACTTCATCCGAAATCTTTTGAAAGCACGTCTTTCTGATCTTTGAAGATGCATTTTCTTTCTTTTTCGAAGCATAGCCACCTACATTTCCAGAAAATGCTTTTAAATAAACAGGCTTGAATAGACTACTTAGCTGTTAAATTAATCTGGTAAATTCAGCCAAAACATCCTAATGTTTAGAGAAAAAAAGTACTACAAATTGTATATATAGCCCGAATTCCCATTTAAAAAATCTGATTAAGACTAATGTGCAGGTAACAAGCAGGTTCTATTGTTTTATGAAACATGTTGATGTTTTATCAAGGGTAATTCACAAAAAAGTGCTCACAATCTTGGACCGTATACAAGCAACCAACTGCTTAGAATTTTTGGAATAGAAGGTCATCAAACTGATATAGAAATATTGTCAATGCATCTGAGGAGGAATATGCAGTGGGCAGAACACTTGATGTTTACACATCCCAAAAGGTAATGAGCATATTAGAGAAAAAGGTACTATACAAAAGAGCTGAAAATTGAGACTTATAAAAAAGTAATCTACAAAAGATTATTTCAAAATAGCACTGCAGAGACCACCTCAGACATCATAATGGCACATATGAAAGCATACGAGTGAGTTCCTCACAGCGTGACTGTTATACAGCTAACAGGGGCGAATATATGGGATGTATGGGCAATAATGAGCTGTTACCACATGTCTGTGTTCAAAAGGTTTTTGATGGACCTGCTTTGAACAGAGTTGCATAAGGCTGAAAACATGCTGCTTAGGAGGGGATTTTAGTGTAATGGATGTTTTAATTTAACCATAATGATATGCAAGGTCATCACCTACTGTAGCTCGTGTGTGTGTGTGTGATCTGCATGATCTGTCCAAAGCTACTGTAGATGGTAATTGTTTTAAATGTCATTCAAGTGAAGAGTTTCTGTGGTAAATGTGTGGTAAGATGTGAATTGTTCTTCTTGCTCAGCCTCATTTCAGCCGCAAGTCAACAAATATTTCACACCTATAATAATCAAAATCTTTGTGGTATGCAGGGGCAAAGCAAACAACAAAAATTCACATTTACCTGGCACACACTAGCCTAAAATATCATTCTAGACAAGACAAGATGTGTGTTACCTGTGTGTTAATAAATGTTTGTTTATATGCCCATGGGCTGAACTTTCAGCGAACGGTGCACCAGAAAGAGTGAGAAGCTTATGAAATATATATAGAGGGAAAGGTTAGGACTGAATTTGAGATGGGATGGCAACATATCTTACATCAGTAATCTACTGAGTTTCACAGATATTGCTAATAGAGGTATCTCTAATGCAGATATGTAAAACTCACTCCATCCTTAATTCAATGCAGTTCTTATGATTAGTGAAAGAAAAAGCTGTTGTCATGGAAAAAAAGAACTAACATCATGTGTCAAAAGCTGGTCTTTCCTTGTCACTGGACTAGTTTTGATTGCTTTGGCTGGCATTTGCGTGTCTTCTGACAGTGAGCAATTGCTGTAGAGATTAAACATCTCACTGGGTTTGAGTGACATTTAAATTACCACTGTGTTTGCCATGCAAATAGCCTGTATCGGTTTATCTGTGATGGATCTGCTAGTTGGAGTGATTGAGAAAGTGATGAATATTAACCAAATCTCCCAACAGGACGCAGGGAAGGAAACACACTGTCTACAATCTCTAGGACACTGGACTGGCACACAGTTTCTGAGCTGGAAAGACAGAGAATGATGCAGTAATCACAAACCCTCAATGATGGACTAGCGTGACTACCATTATTAGTGTGTCTGTCCTCAGAGACTTGCACACCCTGAATGGCTGTGACAGAGCCTCGTTACAATGAGCTGAGCGATGTAAAGCTGTTCTTGCTTCTAATTGCTGATGAGGAGAAAAGCTGGAAATGTGATGGGATTTGTCTCAGAATCCCATTTAACATGAATTTTCAGCGATCACATCATAATCAGATTTGACTATTTGACTACATTAATGACTCCATGAGTTTTGTGGCTTGTAGTTCAGTGGCTCTCAACGTTTTTGACAATATTCAAATTCTAATATTCGAAGGCCCTCACATCTAAGCTGATATGTATCTAAACATAAACAACCTGAAAAATATGTCAGTTTAATGTTGTACGTCACATTTTTATTATTTTTCTTTCAGCATTAAGATTAATTAAGATCATATTAATATGACTAAACTAAAAAAAAAAAAAACTATTTTTTTTGAGCCATCTGTATGCTAGCTAAACAAAATAAATAGATAAATCCATTAAAAATACAGTATAGTCTCTCTTTTTGCGAAAGTGGAACATAAATACTCATGACGCATCATACACTACAAATTTATGGTTTATCGAATCCTGTTCTGAATGTGAATGCTCTTCACACTGTAGGGTTTTTCAACTCAAAAGGGGAAATATTTATGACGAATTATAACTGGTTATGATTCATAATAAATATTTAGATTAGATCTTTGAATTAACTAATTATAGTCTAAATAAAGAAATGTCTTTATGTGTGTGTGTTTGTGTGTGTGTGTGTGTTAGTTTGCTTGGTCAGCCAGGCCCATCGGGGTCATTTACAGCTCTTTGGGAAGTGTTTGAAGTCAGATGGGGGAGATGATAGTGGGGGGGCTGGTTAGAATCTCCTTGACGGCGAGGAACCATTTGGCAATTTAAACCCCCATACAAACGTAAAGTCTCTGACCAGAACTGTAATTTATATGCAAATGTCAAAAGGCTAAAAAGGTCTCTTAAGCCATAAAACCCCAAAGATCATGCATGATCCTACGCAGACGCTACAACACTTATACTGCCTGCCAAGAGAATGTAGCAAATCATGGCTTAGAGTTTCATGAACAATTTGGTCTGCCTACTGAATCTACCTAATATAATATAATATAATATAATATAATATAATATAATATAATATAATATATAACCTAATATGTAGAATGTGTTTAAAAACTTATAATTAAATATTCGTACAGGTTATAGTCTAAGCTAGCCAACAGATTGGCTAACAATAAACTAAACTAGCATGCTGAACTGTTAGCTTACAAAACATAAGCTAACTAAAAATAATAATAATGATAATAATGAACAAGTGTATAATTACCCAATCTATAGCTTAGGTTATATGTAACCATTGAAAAAAAAAACATAAATAGCCATAATAACAGTTAAGACGGTGCACATCATAAAGTGATTTTAAATTATTTGTAATCAGGCACTGAATAAATTATCCATTAAAGTTTCTCTCAGGCAATGGAGTCTCTTTGGGGTCTTATTTGTTTGCCAATTGTTCATGACAACAGCTATGACATAAAGTAATATCTTTTGGGAATTTTCTTTAAAGGGTTAGTTCACCCAAAAATGAAAAGTCTGTCATTAATTATTCACCCTCATGTCGTTCCAAACCCGTAAGACCTTCGTTCATCTTCAGAACACAAATTAAGATATTTTTGATAAAATCTGAGAGCTCTCTGACCCTCCGTAGACTAGGCAATGCAACTGTAATGTTCCCAGGTCCAGAAACGTAGCAAGGACATCCGTAATTTTACGAAGCTACGAGAATACTTTTTGTGCGCAAAGATAACAATAATAACATAATTTATTCAACAATTCTTCTCCCCGAGTATTCTCGTAACTTCATAAAATTACGGTTGAACCACTGATTTCCTTGCTACGTTTCTGGACCTGGGAACATTACAGTTGCATTGCTGTCTATGGAGGGTCAGAGAGCTCTCAGATT